TTCGTTTAAAAATTGAAAAAGAGAGCCACTTATATAGATTCACCAGTCTTCTTTTAAAACATTATGTGTCCGTGCCAAGCTTGGCATTAGGTATATCGCCTTACGTCGTTAGCAAAAGGTTTTATTTGGTCCAAATAAGTTCGACTTGCAAATGATTTATTGATACCCAAACTCCAATTTTATTTTAGTCTGGATTTTCAAGTAGATCAAGGTAAGTACCGATTTCATACTATATTCATACTCGTAGTAGGAAATATTAAAGCGTTTGTTCGGGCCAATGCTTTACATTCATCTCATATACAAATCACATGCGTTTATAAACGTTTAAACATCGTTGGTATCGAAAGAACGGTTCGATAATATAATCACAGTGCGAGTATTTCGATTTAATCATAAAAAATATCGTCTAGACTTTAGCACACACGTTAATCACGCCCTCATAATAATATGACTCTTGTTTAGTACATATAATAACATCATCGATTACCGTATTGTCAATAAACTGTGCAATATACGTATATATTAAAAAACATTCATTCCCTAATCATTTATCGCTCTAAATATTTTTTAAATTTATTTTTTCTACCGAACATTATAGTAATAAGGGTAAAGTTACCTTTTTTTTTTAATTACAAAACACTCTTGTCACTTCCCTTCCTTTTATCCGGTCAAACCTAATATTGTTTTAGTAACAAAATCCAAATATTAATGCCTTTGTACGTTTATTTTTATGTGAAACTAAAACAATCAAAAAATATTTATTACGTTTTATACTTACAAGTATAAATTGTCTTTACAATCGGATAGGTGCTTTATGTCATTTTATAGTTGTATTGTATTTTAAGCCTAGCAAGTTCGAAATAAGCATGCTTCAGTAATATTTTTTCTGTGTTTTTGTACTTACAATAAAACATCAAAAAAAAAAAAAAACTAAACTATACTAAAACCCCCAAACGAAATCTAACATTAATACACCAGTTCCTTTATTTAGTTTATTGTTGCACAAACCCTCAATCAACATAGAGTAATCAAAATATAACTTCGAAATTATTTCTATTTTTCACAACTATCAGTGCAGAATAATTATTATAAAAAACAATGAGTTGAATGAAAATTTAAAAAAAAACCCGCCTGCTCACCTAATTAAGTAGTTGCTTTCAAAATTGATAACATATATGAATTCAGCACTCCTCAAACACATAATTTTATGTGAAATATGCAAGTTATATGAATCTTAAAAAAAGCTTCTTTTACCCCTCCTCTTCTCCTAATTAAAGGGATCTTGATCCAAGACTGATAAAAAAATTGAACTACGCACATCCAAAAGTATTAGACTTGATTTATTGCACATTATTAAGAAGTAAAATTTATGAACCATTAATTATTTGATAGCTAAATATTAATTTCAAAACCACTGTGCATGCCGTTTTGACATTATGCCAAATTGTAAGAAAAAAAACATCTAAAAATGTCGTAATTTATTTTAACCCTTTGAAAAATTCAATCGGGGCATGACACATACTATGCTCAATTGGAATTTGAGTGAAGTCCATCGAAAAAAACTGTAAAAAAAAATGTATTACGCATATAAAAAAATTTAAAAAAAAAGAACTAATACTGAGGACAGATGTGGTCACTGTTGTAGGTGGATAATTGGGAAGGTCGGATTCATAAAGTTATTTAATTTATACCTGTATTTAACTACAAACCATTGCTAACGAAAAACGACTCGTAGCGGGGTTCAGTTATACATGTTTTGAAAGGCCGTAATATTTACGATTTCCGTCACAATTTGATTTTAATCCTTATAAAAAAAAAAAAAATAAAAATAATGATAATAAAATACTACGTTGCACTATACTTTTTTTTGTATCACTAAATTCAACTTATAATGAAACATTTTTAAATTTTCAAGTACTTCTGTAGCCTTTGTCACACAATTATAAAATCAAGTAGTGTCTAATAAATAAAAACTTTATAAAACTCACAAAATTTAAATGCCTAAAAATAGAGCACAATAAACAAAATAGTTTAGAAAATTTTACAACGTCTAATAATATAAGGTAAATTTTCTGTCAAAATTCCAAATCTCTAACAAATTTTTAACTAAATTAAAACAAAATTGAAAATAATAAAAAAAAAAGCGTTATTTTCGTAATTTTCCCGCTTTCTGCATTTTTTCCCCGGATTTTCTGAGTTATTAAAAAAAACTACAAATAAACACACACAATAATGATTCACGGTGGCTAAGGAATGCGTTGAGCTCATCGTCTTGTATTGTACATTTGACATACCTTCCGTGATTGGGAATACAAAGCATATTTTTCACGAGGGTGCTTTAGGCACTCGTTTGGAGTTGTCTTCCAAAAACTATATCAGGCTTCGCTTATTCTTCATTATATCGCGTTTTTTTTTTGTTTTGTTTATTTTTCAAGAGAATATGTACATTTCAACAAATTATAAGACGACGATGTTTGTTTGTTTTATTTTATGTTTTTTATTTCATCTTTTAAGTCATGACAAACAACGACTTAACATAAAGTACACAATATTATGTTGCCGGTAACATTTAACATTTAAATGACGGTAAGAATTGTATATAGTTGCAACGTAGGTAAATAAGTGAATAAATCACGAATAACATAGACCATCATGTACTGTATATTATTCATCGTTATTTTATAATAGTGATGTATGTCGATAATAATACTGCTATTAAAACGATGTAATAATAACAGACCGACCGCCGAGATTCGAGAACAATATTTCCACGGTATAGATAATAATCGTACCATATGCTCAAATAGAAGGAGGGCTTTAGGGGTTTAGGTCTCTCAAAAATGCCAATAGTTCCTTCAAACCGTGTTCTGTAATTTTCATTGCATTCAATAAATAACGCTAATACTGAAGTATTTATACGTGTGTTATATGAAAAATGTATTTTGTAGTTTATATTGAATAGTGCCACGTACGAGTGAGCCATAGTGAGCCATAGTGCTCGTATACCTAACTATTATAGAAAAAATTAAAATAAAACAATTTATTATAATAATCGTGTACATTATTATTATTACATACCTATTATATATTAACTACAAACTTTGAATATCTGAATAACTGCTATAAAATAAACAACTAAAAATAAATTTTTAATACCGTTGTAACTCAATTTATCAAATAAATAAATGTAACCATTTTCAGTTAATACATTTTTATCGCCATTTACTAGGTTATTAATAAATAATAATAATTTTATATGACATACGGAGTGATCCATCTGTCATAAGACACTCATTATCTTGGAAAGTATTAACTTTTTCCGGAATTTATTTTCTAGAACATTTAAAAAATAAACTGCTCTACAATTTTATAAATATGTTATTTTTTGTCAATCTTAATTTTAGAGGTAAAACAATTAGCTACTTTTGATTTTTAAATCGCAACCTATATAAAAAACCATAAATAGATGGAGTATTACTTAAACTAAATTTAGGTGTTAACATTTTTTATTTCTGTCGACCCGTTAACGACCCGTATTCCACTTTTAAGTTTAAGTAGGGGTAGAGTAGCAGAGGATCATTTGCGTGGCGGTAGCCGTACCGCCGATGCGGCGAGTCAATAATGCACCACCACTGTTCCCTAACCCAAACTGAAAAGTGGAATATCTCGTTAACGGGTTGACGGAAATCAAAAATTTCAAAACAAAAATTTATTTTAACCAATACTTCGTCTATTTATGGAATTTTTAATATAGGTTACCGTTTGAAAACCGTTGTAGTGGTTTTATCCCCAAAAATAAGGCTGACAGAAAATAACATGTATATAAAATTGTAGAACAACTTACTTCTTAAATATTCTAGAAAACAAATTCGGGAAAAAGTAAATACTTGACGAGATAACGACTTACAATAGATTGATCACCCTGTATAAAACTATGGAAAGTATTGATGTTCATTGATTTCAGTTGACTTGGTATAAATTAGATTCTGAGAGGAGTGAAGAAGCTTATAGTTTTACAAAGATGGTTTTTTTTTTATTTTATCTATGCGCAACTTTTCTACTAGCAAACTTGCTCGGATTTCTACGTGTCTCACATTTTCTGAAAGGAAATTTGCATGGGGAGGTACTCTAAGGATGTCATATTTCGATCTTCTCAAGAGTTTTCTTACCAAATTTAAAAAACTGAAAAAAACGGGAAAATATAAGAAATGTAGGTATTAATTAAAATATATTACGGCCTTCTTTTTTTTTGTGCACAACTTTTCTACCAGAACTTGTGCTCCAACTTTTAATACAGCAATGTTTCTAAAAAAAAAATTACTAGAGAGGTACTTCAGATAAGTCATTTTTCGATTTTCTCAGGTGTTTTTTCATTAAATGCGACCTATTTTGTGACGGAGTATACATGCGCCCACACGAGCAAGTACAAAACATGGTTTGTAAAAATTAAAAAAAAAATTAAATTGGTTACGCCGCGGTGCACAATAAATATTTTCCGTTTGTTCGATAATTTTTTTTCCAGTTTTTTCCCCAACTATTATGGAAACTCCTAGGTAAATCAAATAATGTCTTCCCAAATGCACCGACTAGATAAAATGATTTCTTTCTACAAAAAGTATTACACTTAAAACACAATGTAAACAAAATGTGGTCATGTTATTTAAACACAAGTTGTTGTTCGCGACGTTCGTGTAATGAATAATAAAATTGAGAATGTCAACTGATGAAGTCTTTATTCGGTACCTAGGTTCCAAGTACCTAATGAACTATTTGGGCCAGATGAATATGTTATAGTTGGACAATACAGTTAGTATAAACTTAATTTCCTCATATCCTAAATACTTCCCCAACTTCCCACTTTAAACGTACAACTGCATTCTACGTTTACTCACGATGAGAATCAAGTCCGTGGCTCTTTTTTGATTATTACGCACTAAAAATGAGTAGATGGTGTCATATCATGATGACATTATTTTAATAGACGTTAAACAAAAGTATATGTCAGTCTAAAATGTTTTTATTATACATTACTAATAAAAGTTTTAAATGCAATTATTCATAAATAATAATAATAATTGTTTTACATTGGACTCATTGGAGAGTGTACCAAATAAAAATGAATAAAAAATAAATAGGTACGTATTATAATTAATAAAATATTATAGTATATAGATACAAATAGTATTGTTAATATCGTCGCCGGAATGTAAAAAATAACCAAGCGCAATATTATGTGGCCAAATTTACTGTGTATAATAATAATATTTTCTTTTTTTCAAGTGTAGGATAAACAACAAACTGAAAATTCAACATTTACACCGAGTTATAGGTTGTTGTGTTCTGATTAAGTTTAATATTTATTTATGTTTAAATCTTTTATTTTCTTTTTACTAAATTAGTGAAACAAAGTGTTTGTACTTGATTCCCAGCTGAACGAAGGTGTCTGAAAATAATATATTACATACAGATGCAAACGAACGGATCCGTGTCCACACCTATAAAGAGTGTTGAGCTAACATAGGAATTTTTGACATGTTTGTTGAATTGAGGATTGCTTTGATAACACGAATGAAATAACAGTGGAATATCCACACGGGAAAACACGTTTTCGTGTGTCTTTTGTTCAATACTGCAGTGCACGGACGAAATCGTATGGAGTTACAGCTATTTTTAAACATAAAACTGGATAGTTTAACGTTAAAATTGTATTTATTCTTTCGCGGACGTTTTAAGACGAAAATATAGAAAATGGAATGCGCTTGGGAATTTTGCAGACCGTTGTGATGAATAATATAAACAACGTCTTGTTTATAGGCGGAGTTAAAATTTCACTTATATATTTGCTCGGTGGCGACGATATTATACGCCATAAACTATATAATTATTAGCGACGTGTTGAACTAATTTTTAATAGATTTTTTTTTTTTCTGGTAACGATATCATGCTGACGCAGGATTCGGGGCGATCTCGGCCACGAAAGTCCGTATCTGCATCGGTGTCAACAAAATTTGCTTGGGATCGAGTGGTAATAGTTGTCGTTCGGTCCTGATGGGCCACGAATCGTCGCTATCACTAGTCGTCGCCGACCAGGTAAGTTTCGTATTTTCCGACAGCCATTGGTTACCACCCAATATTGTCTCCCGTAACGACACTATGCGGAATTTCGTAAACAAATCCTGCGAGGGGAAAGAATAAACTAATAAAATAATCGATTTTGGGAGAACATAATAATAATTTGGCATCAAATTTTTGTGTTATACATCTACGCATACGACATTTTACTAAAATAATAATACGCGATATAATTGTATGCAAACCTCAACATTTATGGCGATTGGCGTTGACAGATTTTTGTCTTCGTTGTACTCGAATATATGTTCGAATCTTAACAACACCGAATTGTCTTTCCACGGTTCCAGAGTGAGTAGTTGCACGTTATTCGGTAGAGGTCTTTTCAACCCGGAAAACTGAAAAGTAAAAAAAAAGAAATTACTACAATTTGGATAAAGTTCTGAGAGATGAGTGGGGGGGGGGGCAATATGTCAAAAACATTAATCACTGTATTGAACGAAGAAATAATTTGTTATAAAATGGTTACACAATAATGCGTTTAAACAAATCAAGAAATATTAAAGTCTTATGAATAGTTTTAAAACTAGAACTAATTTATATCAAATGTAAAAGATTTAAATTCCGATATTTTATGCTCGGACATACTTAATGTCCCTACCATGCCTCGTTTACATTGTAAATACAATTTACATTATCACTCAACGTTTGCTATAATAATTATATTTATTTATACACGTGTTCGCAATTTGATAAAATTAATTGACGCTCGGTAATATTTACAAATACGTCACTTTTATTCTGTATTTGAAAATGTTTAAATGAGTTTATTGATGCAATATTTATTTTAACTGTTTGTTCTTTTTTTTTTTTTGCGATACGGGCCAATATCTAAACATTTTGCAGCGAATACCAAATTCTTCCCGCTCTTCTCTGTTGTATACACATAATCCATGTGCCCAGTTCCGTCTCAAACCAGACACGTATCTTCATACTATAGCCACCTACTGTTGCTTCAAGCGACTACGAGTTTTTTTATTTGTGCCGCAGCTGTAAACAAGTTTACGAACACCATTTACTATATTGTCAGTTCTCTAGGTCAAATTTTCCTTAATACTCCTCTTTCAAAGGTACTTCGTTTTTTTTCATAAGTTTGATGGTACCAGTGGCTACAGTGAAAACAATATTGCTTTTATAGTTTTATCATTATCGTCACGAGATGTTCTTCGGAGGAATACATTTTTCGGATCTGAATATAAAATTACCTATATTGCTCCTTTATTACTTAGAGGATTTTTTGATAACATGGTATCCATAACAGTCTTGTATATAATACTTATCAAATATCGAATATGTTGAATTTCAGCACTTGTATTTTGTTATTACAAAGAATGATTTTTATGTCTACTATGATGAAATTGGTTTTATTAATTAAATCTTCTTTTTCTTGATTATGACCAAAAGTAATAATATACAGTTTGGTGATAAATGCATTGGTAAAATGTCCTGATAAATCATACATTAATAGTAATACTTAATAAGCAATCCATTTCACGGTCATCAGATAAATGTAGGTAGGTACATAATTCTTAGTCTGTTAGGAAATTATTTTCTTTTACAACTGTCTATAGGACTTTTACATTTTTAATGCAATTATTTGTGAATAATAATATTAGGATATCAGTTTTCTTTTAAAACTTTAAGAACGATAGTTAAACTAATGGACATTTAAAACATCAGTTTAATGGTTGAGTAAGAAGTTTCTTGTTATATTACCGTTGGCCAATCTCTTTGTTATCTTATATTTGTGCGCTTTAGAAGAAACTATATAGGCAATTTTATTTACGGACCCGAGAAATGTATTTCTCCAAAGAGCATTTAATGAACGTCAAATTTTAATTCTAGTTTAAATTTATTAATAATATGATAATTGATAAAATGTGTATTCAATAATTAAAAAAAATTATATAATCATTCCATTAAGGGGGCTGCATCCTACTTGGACATCCCTATATATGTCTGCATAAAGAGGGGAGCCGTTGAAAGTGTCCCTCCTGGGATCATATTTATAAGTTACGCCACTGTATCGGTATACACAAACATTAAAATGTTCAATAACACTATACTATTATATGAGTAAATTGTAATTTTAAAATCCATGCGGAATACAAACAATTTAACTATAATATTCAAATATAACGTTTTAGATTTAAAGCGAAACAAGTAATGTATATTGCAGTTGTTTTATTGATGTAGTGAGGTCAAATTTAGATTTGCCTTATCATTTTCTGAATAATTGGGAAAGAATAGGAATATTTATACAATAACGTGGTTTACGTTAATTTCGTTTTTTTTTTTTCTATGGTCCAGTTAAAATTAATTGTAATGACCTGACATTTTTAACCTAAACAAAAATACTTTTTTGGATGTGATACAATTTTCAAAATATTCTGTAATTTTTTTGCCTTGTAAAAATGCTCAAAAATTTAATACAAAGTTCATGTAAGTTGTACCCATGAAATAAAAAAAAATTTGCCTATTACAAATCAATACAGTTTTTATTTCAAATTTAGCAGAAAAATGTCTAAAATCAGGATCCCGCTCAAAAGCGTTTAGATCGTATATGGACACCAGATAACTCTTGGTAAAATCAAAAAATAACCTTCTTAACGTACCTCCCCAGTCAGATTTCCTTTTAGAAAAAGTGCTCTTATTGTAAATCGGAGCAAAATTGCTGGTAGAAAAGTTGTCCATATAAACAAAAAAATAAACATTGTAAAACCAGTACATTCCTCATTCCACTCAGAATCTAAAACACTGAAATTAAAAAGACTACAAAATAGTATTGTCATCATGTTTCTATGCTGGCGAGCTAACTACTTACGTTTAATTTATTTCGATTTTATATTATATGATTTAGGTAAGTACAAATTTGTTTGTAAGAAAGTCGCGTTTCCAATAATATATTGCGAACGAGTCAACGGAGCGGGACACTTTTGAATTAAAACCCTACCGTTTCCTTTGTATTTTCGTCTCTTTCATATTTTAATCATTTCCCTTGTATTCTGCCATCAGCTGATATATATATATATTACACTCTCGCAGTTTTTTTTATAACTTTTCTAATAATTTTTTTTTAAATTTTACTACGCAGGTCATTGTTTTCTCACGGTTTACATACAGGCAATGTATTCTGTCATTGGGAGATTTTTTTGTTTTTTTTCATTATCACCATACGATATTATTATTGAGTCGGCCGCATTTTAGTAGGTACAATTATTATTATTATTATATGTACCTAATTAAACATTCATTTTTTGAGGTAAACTTAAATCAAAGCAATAACAATGAAGTAAAGTTGATACTTAGTCCAGCAACCGAAGATATTTAACGATGAAAAGTATATTTACATCTTAAGTTACCTGCCAAAATAACGAAAGTGATACTTTAGTTTATTTGAGTCGTATTATGTTATAGGCAGCTTTTGATAAATAGTTGACGACAAAAGATGACGAATCGAAACACTTTATAGTTTCTGAAAGAAAAATATTAAGAACTAAGAAAGATATACGATCCTACAATAAAAATGAAATCAGGAATGTGAAAATGGAGGATCAGCGTGATCGAAAATATATTTAAATAAGCGAAGTTTGAAAAAAAAAAAAACTGATGAGTTAGTGGGCCATGTCTGTTGAGTAAAGGATAAAATAATACATCAAGTGTTAGCCAAATGTAAAAAGATCACGGGTGAGACCCCGCCAGTAGTGGATAGGTCGGATGAACAAGGATCTGAAATAATATAAGACGAGAATCGAAGATGCAACTGTTAGAAAAATTTGGTAGAAGCGACAAATGGGTTTCACAAAAGGTCATGGCCTGTAAAAAGTGTTCCAAGTCAACAAAATTATTGTTCGAGATATATAAATACGAACAGACTAGCTGATAACTTTAGTATGCGATTTTAGATAAAATATTGTTTATGAGTTGTTTTACTATTTATCATCAACACCAGTTTTCTTCTTTAAAGATATTTTAAGTCCTTCGTTTATACTGAGTAAGAATAATTTCTGTTTTCAGGCTGAAAAAAATAAACTATAGTAGATACAGCACATCGCTTAGTAAAATAAGACATTTAAAAATCTCAACCTTTTTGTTTTTTTTTTTTTTTTGTTAATTTTTAGGGCTTAACTGTATATTTATCTACAAAATAGGGCACATAAATGGCCTGCCTTAATTAAAATATATCGTACCAGTAGCAAACTTGTTTTCCGCAGCTCTTCGTGAGACACGACGTTTTCTATTTTCGTGAAAAAATATTGCGGCCTGATGAGTTTTCTTTGTGCCAGTAACCTTTCCACCGCAAACTGTTTGTCGATCGAACCGAAAGTGAGATAGTGCTGTCCTCTAGCCACCAGACCCACGCCGAAAGCGGTCTCGTTCAATGCTTCATCGACGCCAAAAGCGTCATCGTGGAATATTCGCCTGTGTACCTGCGTGTGTTAATATGGGACACGATTAGTCAAAATTCTGAAAAAACTGAACAACTCCGGACAAAATAATCAGGAAATGTCTCCGCTTAAACCCGGTAAAAAGGAAATGGAAACAATTTGAGAATTTAAAAACAATATATTTTTGTACCGTAAAGTAATTAGCCTCCGTTTCGGACACACCTGACTTCCCTCCTACGCTTTTCAGCTGTCCCTCAATGATTCCCCTCTTTGTACCTTACATCGCTCCTCATCTATCTGTAACATTAACCATATCCTCTTTTGTTGCCCATCCCTCTCGGATCGTCTGCGCTTTTATTCCTTTCTAAACTCTTTTGATATTCCTCCTTATCCGCAACATCGTCTTTCCTTTTAATAACAATGGGTCATCCGTGCAAATTTTTCCTTTATTTTAAACACCGGACTGCTTATTTAGGTTTTTAGTTCTTATATATTATATTGTTTGTTTTTCTAACCTTCCGTAATAATTGTCGAGACTAGATACTTAGCGCAAAGTTTCCTTTCAAAAAAAATTAAAAAAAGTTTACTAAGTACCATGAGCTCGATCTCTCCGGTTTGAAGACTCGATCCGCCTTGGGACCTGTCGTTGAGCACAGAAAACCGCGTGCTGTCGTCGGTCAATGAAATGCGCGAGGTAATTGGATAATAATTCCCCGACACGTTTTCCACGTTTTCTTTCAGGGTGAACGACGGCCTGTAGTTTAACACGCGCTTCAACATTTCCCGGCCGTTGGAATCGGTGTAGAATGTTTCGTTGTTCTGGTAGAACGGGACGTGGAAACGAGATACGATTTCCTTGCCGATTTTGTCTCTATGCGAAAAATAAGACGCAACTGTATTATCATTATATCACTGGGTAAAGTGCGTCGAGTGGATAACAATTGGACTCACTCGTCCGGTATGGGTCCTACGAGCCATTCGAATTCGATGTGATCTTCTCCGTCGTACTTTCGTATCACCTGACTCACCCATTCGTTGCATTCTTGTCGAATCTCTTGCACTACCGGCCCTGATAACAGACAACCATAAACGAAAATTCGTGTCAAACAGCCATAAGTTTAGAGTGTATTCACATAATATAAGGCGTTATAAGGGAGTCACAACTCCTTCGGAGGTCACCGATTTATGATCGTTAAAAATATAAATATTGGACCACCGTGTATAAAATAATTATATTTAAAGGTGGATAAAAAAATTAAACATTCACTTAGGGGTTAGTGTAGGAGGTCCAAAATGTAGAGAAACACTGCTTTAGGGGACTCGACTGACCTGAAATTCGTTCGGGAGGCTTCTGTTTATCGCACACCGGTACCGCCGTGCCGTTCGGCCGGAATATGTAAGCGCCCGACGATCTGTTGTAGTCTTTTTCATTGTCACCCGCCATGCTCCTGTAATACGCAAACTCCTGGATCAACGGCACTTCATCACCGCCGGCGTACAGGACGAACTTCCTGGGATCGTTTTCGTCCATTTTTAGCCCCAAAAGCTATTGATAAAATCGCATTGTAAAAAGAAAAACCCTTATGTATAATATATATACATATTATGTAATACAGGGTGTATCTGAATTGAAAGGGGAAAATTAGTAAATGCGTATAGCGAGCTATTCAGCGGAGTGTTCGAATGGCGAATATGTTTTTGGAATTTTGTGTATACCTCCGAAACCCGGGGGGGGGGTTTATCACATTTTTACTATTTGATTATTTTCATGAGTTTAATTAATGATGTAACTTGCCACAAAGTCACTATACGAAAATAATATACATTGTTGTACTTGCGCGAAATAATATTCTAAAGAATAAATTTAAAAAAACCCAGGTTTTGAAGACGGAAGAAAAAATTCCAAAAACATCGTCATTCTAACACCCGATATTTGTTGACAGGTTTCCGCATATTTTGTTTTAAAAACACGCTGTATAGCCGACTCCCTCGTGGGATAAAGGTGAATAAGACGATTTTGTGTTATGAAAATTGTACGCCATACCGTGTCGCCGACATCTATGCCACCGTTAGTTTTCGGTTGCGTTTCTCTTTGCTGTCGGTTGACTTTTTCTCGGGTGATCAGGTACGACTTGTAGCCCAATGGCGGCAAATCGGCCGCGCGGAACACGAGTTCCGTAGTGGCGGTCGACACGCGGCCGGGCACGCGCAAAACGGCCTGGGGCAACCGGACGTACTGGACCGTGAGCCGTTGACCGCCAGGGTCGACCACCGAGTAAGCCGTTTCGCTGGACACGGGCAACCGGACGAATTCGTTGACGGGCCGGCCGAGCGGGTTGTACAACGTGACCACAAACTGTTCGTAGCGCTCCGACACGTGACACTGGCTGATGTTCAACAGGTGACAGGTCTCTCGGGCCGGCGATGGCGTCCCGTAATCGATGCCGGTGAACCCTCTGAAACAATAAGAATCCACGGAGGTGAAAAAAAAACCCAACGTGTTTGCAACACCAGTAGGTCACTGTTGTCGTTAGGAAGTTCGAAAGGAAAGACATACATAATACTTATGTTTGTAGGCATTTGTATTGTAGTTGTCAGCCCGAAAAATGTTAGAATGGTTTGAAAATTGTACCGCGTCTAAAAAGTGCTATTAATATAAGGATTCGGTGTGAAAGTTTAACGTCTCTACGGGTATTTTTAATAGAATTACACACACACACAAAAAAAAAAAAAATTCGAAAATAACAGAAACCGTTATTAAATATATCCGGTTTCCGACGTTTTTGCATATTTTTCAATAAACTACAAGGTAAATCACAAAACGACCTCTCCAGTGCACTAACTAAACACATTTAGCTGTCCCTAGCTGAAGTTGGTGATCGGAGTAGAATATTTGGTAGAAATGTGGTTTATATTATAGATAGAAAATTAAGACACAGTAAAATATCTCGGCACAGATAATTTGCCTAGTAAAAAAATACATTCCTCGGCAAACATTCAGAATATATATACATAAATCAAGAAGAATAAAACGGAATTACGATAATATGGCGTGCGACGTCTCTTCGCACTCCTCGATGGCTTCGCTCAACAGCCGCGCGTAATCATTAGCCACGTGCTGTTTTTCTGTGCCGGTAATGGCGTCGTGGTGTTGCATAACTCCCATCGTCTCCCGGAGCGTCGTGATTTTCTCCTCGTATTTCGAGCCCGTCAGACTTTGGACGGCCAACTGTTTGCACGTCTGCAGAAAACAACGACAACGCGTGATGTGTAGTGTATATAGGTACTGTGCATTTTGTGTAATACTACCGATAACGTCATATAGTCAGGAAAACAAATTATTGAACTTAATAATCTAATCTTTCACTGGTCGGACTAAAGTAGTAATTTTCTCCCCGTTGTTGCCAATCAGAAGAAATCAACAGGAGAAATAAAAAAATGAGCTTCCCGTACCAGTACTTAAATTGGAAGAATAAAAGAAAGGGTACTATGAGGCTTAAAAAAAGTAACGTCCCTTGTTATGATTGAATTCAACCGAATTAAGATCATTAAGAAAAATTACAAATGGTACACTAACTAGATACAGTTTGATTTTAAAAAACATGCTCCTATAGCGGATGAACGGAGCATGATTTCTGGTAGAAAAGTTATGTACAGGCATTTAAGAGATGCCAGATAGCCAGAATTTAAAAGCATTAAATTCGTGAATTTATACATAACGGACATACCCCATTAAATATTAAAAACTTATTTTAAAATGTATTATATTTATTTAAATTTGTTTTAAAAATATTATATGTAAAAAAAAAAAACATGAAAATGCATTCAATTCACAGGCCTGGTTCTAAAATACACTAGTATGCAATGGTAGTTATATGTTTACTTTAACAATCGTTCACGTACCTGCAGGTAATTATTTCCCCTTCGTTCGTAATATTTTTGCGTCGGTCTGGACGTAAAATAACCGGTCCAATACGAATGTTTGTCGCTCTTGTACGGGAAAAAATCGTCTTGTTTCGTCGGGAACGAGATTTTGTGATCGTTTACTGCTTTCAGATAACACGACGGCGTGGAGTATATCGCGTTGATTTTACTGCCGGACGCTTGTTTCGAGTTTATGTGTCTACAAATCAATAATAATAACAACAATGATACCGCTCAGTTAAGTTTTGTGAGTTTATTGAAGGAAAATTGTTAAATTTTAAATACAGTGAATAGCCGTTTATAGTATGTATAGAAAATAAAATATAGAAAACATATTTTTAATCAAACCGCCGTGCAATTAATGTATGTACGTATAACACTATAATATTAATAATATTATTATTGTTAATGTATCGGTTAGTACAATATTTTATTTACCTACACCATAATGGTTAAATAACCAGATAAAAAATACGACAATAGCATTACGACGTATTTCGGCTGTGAATTGTGTATTCGTATACAAACGAATATTTTCACGAAATGAAAACTTAGCCGGCAATGATTTTAACATAAGATTTCTGTAAAAGATTTATGTTTGGGACTAAATCCTTCAACTATTATTTCAGCCCCCAATGTCAAATTCTAGCCGCACCAATGGATTGAAACTGTTAAAATCGTATTTTAATTAAATATTTAATCACCGTTAAGGTATCATAAACAAGAATATTTTTTACTTCAGGCTTTATGAAATATAAATGGAACTGAATTTAAATTTAAAAAAATCTTCGTTTCAAAAAATGTTTATGATAATCAAATAGAAAATATTAACAATCATCAAGAGAATTTAAAGTGATTAAAGAATATTGTTGAAAAATCTGTTTTTTCTAAATGTATATAAAATGCTACATTCAGCACTTTCCCCCCTAGAGATTTCGTATCTTGTGAAAGAACATTTTCAACAATGCGTCGTATTAATAAATATTATATTATAAGATCAACAATGTTACCAAATCGATACTCTATGTTGTTTATTATAATTTATAGATATTGAACGAGATATATCAAAATATGTTCTAAATAAAGAAGAGATCGTAAATAATATTTGCAAGTACTGAGCGGCGACTTAAACTGTAATTATTAATTTATCACGTAGAAATAAAAAAAAAAAATTAAAAACTTGAATTCGTTACTTAATATAATCATAATAACGATATAATTTAATCGTTTAATGTTAACCTCAATACCACGTTTTTATTATACGTATTATAGTTATGCCACACTACACACACACACTATGGAATAAATAATCACAGACAGTATGAGATATGTTCTGTTAAAAATTATTGTAATGTGTTGGTGAAACGAGGGAGGGATGTGGGACAAAGCCCTCCTTAGTTTATTTATCGCAAGGGCTGAAGTCCCATCATAAATTTAATGTCTAATTAGCGCCTATGCGAGTAAAAAAATAACAAAATCAATCGACGATACGGTGGCGTTAATATAATAACGACGGTTTGTTGGGTGTTAAACTCAATTAATCTAAAACATTTATGCAGGCGCACAACATAATATTATACAGGTATATAGAGAACAGGGATGTTTATAGATACGAGTCAGGGGTGGCGAACCTATTTTGAGTGACAGCATTTCGCAATCAGTTTTTAAAATTGTTCTCGTGTCCGAAGCAAAAAATGTCTATTTTCCAAGAATAAAGGGTAAATATAATATACATATATATGTTTGATATTTATAAGTATAATAATACATTTTATTATATTTTATTAAGTACACGTTTTTTTTTTTTTTTTTTCATAAATTATGTATAGTATGTATATTTCAAAATTTAATTTTATTTCAATATGGTTTGCGTTGTTGTTTTTAACAGATAAATACTTAACATCAGTAATGTAATTTGAAAGATTTAGAATACACAAGCAACAGTGGTTTCATCAGTAAAATCATTTCTTTGCTTCGATTTGATAAAAATGTATGCGAGGTGATACACCTCGCATGCCTTACAAGGTAGGAGATCAGGTCAAGTGGAAGTTTAGAACGAGAATGGGCGACCTCAAATAGTTGGAATGAAGGCGAAGAAGAAGATTTGATAAAATTCGTTGTAGAGAATAGTATTTTACAAATATAAGTTTATGAACAAATTGTTAGTATGACACATCGTGCCAATTTTTTATCGAATGACATATGTCTGGAAACGAAACCTTAAAAATTACATTTTCTGAATTTTTAGTAACAAAAATTACTTTCCATAGAGACCCTATCACGTACATTTCTCCATCACTCCCCCTCCCAATTTTAAAATTTGACATTTATCTTCATCATTGTTATGTAAAAATTTACCAATTTAACAATGTATTTCTTAAATTTTTTACAATACAATATTTAAACATAATCCATGTATATTTTATGCTGTTAATTTTTTTCCTCATACAAATTTTTATAAATTATATTATTTTTTTAGCGTGCCATTGAAATTCGACCGGCGCATCACCTTTATCAGAACGCATGCCATAGGTTCGCCACCCTTGATATAAGTAATATTATAATATGTAGGTACTAACTTAATAAGTTTATCCATGTTATAAAAATTAACGGCCGCGTCGGTATATTGAAAATCGTCGCCCATCGTTAGTATAATGTTATTAGTTCGGTAGTGTAAAGATTGATTGATCGCATACGCGATGAGATTCTGGGCCTGAAAAAATATGTTCACGTTCGTGATATACTACAATGCACGTCCCCGATCTGCGTAACATTATATTGGAACAAATTATCGATAGTAATATTATATTTTACAATAAACAATAACAGTTATTAGCATTCGATATCGTATATGTGTTGAACATAGTGAAGACGTTTGTGGCAAATATTTCGAGTTGTTCGATTCCATTAACCGTATCTGTCACGAGTTTTGTCACTTTGCATCACTCAAGGCTTTTTACTCTGCATTTGTATTACGTTCCGTCCTGAACTATGGTTTCGTCCTGCGGAACCCTAAAAATTCTGTCGCTTTAAAGTTTATTAGAATGGTCGGTTTCAAGCTAGACATTCGCTACCCGTCCTGCTTTTCCGTTAGTCCTTTATAACCTTGCCAAATGTAGTCATTTGGTTAAACAACATTTCCTTTCCGAACTATTATATAATCAAATCGATTCTCCTTCTCCACTCGTCGATATTGATTTAAGCGTTCCTTCTTTCCACACTCACTCCACTGCTGCAACCTTTGATATTCCACATTTCTCATCTTCCCTCCAACTTTTTAAGAATTTCTTCCGAATCATTTCTATCGTTCAGCTAACTTTGGTTTGGTCCAATAAGTTCTGACGTTTGCTTTTTAGATACAGTACTAATGTTACAAATGTTTCTATCAATTTATTGTATGTTCTTTTTTTCTAATGCTGTAATCTGTTACTGGATGTAATATTCTATTTGTTAATTGGTTTTCGTTCGTACGTGTAAAATAAAATACGAGTAATTATATGTTTTCCGCCGACGTCACGTTTTTTGTCGGAACGTAGTTCTTTTTTGAGTATAGGCACAACTATAAGTTATGTTCAAATCGATTATTTTACGCTATTCCGTCACCGACCGGTCTAGAAATATATAGGCAATACATTTCCCAAACAATTTTTTTCCTACAATGGATTTGTTTTTACTATAGGCATTCGGCTTCAGAGTTTTATATTGTCCATGAGTGTGTGTACTGTGAAATCGCTTACCCTATACAAACTGTAGGATTATAATATTATACCTACTGTATAGTATTTTTCGTCTGTTTCAGGAAATCACCTACTCGGAATGGTTGCAAAATTTAATTTATAAAATATTTCATAACTGTTTACACTAGAATAATATGTACGAACAGGTGTGCAACGAATAAATTGTCGGCATACTGCAAAATGTTTTAGATTAGCCAATATTCGAATAATTTTGTTATGATATACATATGTAATGTGTAGTTATATTAAAAAATATATATATTATTAATTTCATAGTATTTTTTATGTAGGTACTTATAAATCTAAAATTATGTTTTTTTTGTAACTCTATAAGTAACGATTAGTGCAATATAAAATTGAAATTGTATAAATTTATACATAACAATTAATTGATCGCGCATGCTTAATAATATTGCTTATTGTAGTGGGTTAATTGGTTATTAAACGAAAACTAAACAAATTATTAATTATTATTTATTACACGTTCTTCCAAAAGAATGGGGTTTTAAAACTTTTTGAAACTCATGTTCGGTCTATTGTGATTTGTACGAAATTATTCAACGATAAAATTTAAAAAGCCGGACATACTCCTCACTATGGTTAAGTTACTGTACAGTAGGTGGGGCGTTGGAAAGGTATATGATGAAGATTTATTTATTAGAGATAAACTATTGTAATGAAAAAAACCAATTCTAAGTGAAGCTCGGTAAACTAGTAACTATATTAGTCGTATTTTTCAGTGTAGCTCAGAAATTAACCAAAATAAAACAACAAATGACCGTACATAGACGGTCATTTGTTGTCAGTTTTTTTTTTTGAATTTTCCTGAAAAATAGTTGGAATCTAAAAAAAAAAAATGTTCAAATATAGTACCACAGGGTTAAAAATTCGTATTTTTCGAGGTGCAACAATTTGATGAATTTTCGGTGAACTGAAAACGTATTTTCGCGTAAAACAAATTAAAATAGGATATAGGGAAGAACAGTTGATCATTTCAAAAAGCGTTTTAAATAATGTACAATAAGGCGGAAATTCCACGGCGTTTAAGATACCTAGTGAACTAATCGGAATATTTTTATTAACCGAAAACTTGTTTTCCGTGGAATATAAACACAACATATCATCTAAATATTAAAAAATTAAAGGTATCGTTAAAACAATAATTTCGGTTATGTACAGTGCGGTAAGTTATTGTATTTAAAAGCGTACATTTATGCACAATATTGTCCAATATAATTGTTATTATTTCAGCGCGTAATATGAATGTCAAACGCAAAGCCGAAAGAAAAAAAAAACCCCGTTATGAAAATCATTGTGCATCGCTATTTACTACTAACTTAATAAGTTTATCCATACTACGAAAGTTAATAGCCGCGGAAGTGTAGTGGAAATCTTCGCCCATTGTTAATATCACGTTGTTAGAACGGTATCGAGAACTTTGTTTACTAACGTACTCGATTAACCGGTCCACCTATGTACACGTTATTTTTACATTATTTTACTTGGCCGCGGACTCCCGACACAAAATAAGTATCGAAAATCATTTTTTAAAACTTGTTTTACTTCTTTAAATCGGGGTTCAATCTACAACTTTTACTCCGTAATATATTGTAGGTATTTTATAGGATCTGGACGTGTACGTCGATATTACCCGTTATTTAATCGGCGGGACACATAAAGCAATAAAGTGCGATCTCGACGAATACTCATACACTATAAAGATATTTGACACTAAAAACGACGGCCCGATAAACAATAATTATCGCGAAAACCCTAGTGGTAGGTATATACTACTTTTTATTTATTATTTTTTTTTTTGTCGGGAGCCCGCGAAATATATCGAATAGGCATATAATATTAGTGCATGTGATTTACTTGATCAATTTGTCTAGGGATTTGAAATAGTAATTGGCGTCTTGATACGTAAAGTCTCCGCCCATCGTCAATATTACGTTGCCGTGAGACTGAAACGCTTTCTCTTGGTGCCGCAAGTAATCGATCAGATAATTCGCCTATTTTTATATTATTTTTTTCAATCATACACACCGCACGCCATAACGTCACAATGTGTGCAATATAATATTATTATAATATTGTAACATCGCGTATTTTGGACATCGCAGAATTCCGGGCAAAAAAACGTATTTATTGAAGCATGAATAATAATTTAAAAATTATTTGTTAATATGAATTTTATTTTTAGGTTTTTTACCTTGGCTTCGACGTTATACTCGGGGCTTCGTTTGTCGTCCACGATGGGGTTCACGCCGCATACGATGTCGAAACAAAAACCGTCGGGCGCGCTATAGTAGTTGTACAGAACTTGCGTGTACAAATCCGCCGACGAACCTAAACCGCGAAACGGTGATAGTATTATAGGCAGGTACTTAAAGAAAATATAATTTATTTCAACTACAAACGTATAATTAATAAAATAGTATATGCATAGGCGTGACTAGATCACCAACTTTGGGGGGGGGGAGGTGCTAAAATTACAGACACATGCATACCCCCACAATTCCCCTAGTATTATACTTATAATAAGCAACTATACATTTAATTTTCATTTTTTAATATAAAAATATGCGAAACACTGCAATGAAATTTAGTATGTGGTCTACCTACGATTTTTCATTATTTTAGTAGGTAGGTACCAACTATGCGATCAGCAGAAGGAAAAAAAATACTATAGTTACATGCAAATTGTAGACTTATTATACATTACGCGTTATACTTAAATACCCTGTATAACGTATGTATTAAGGTATAATGCGATAGCCTTATGTATTAACATAAGGTCCGAACATTTTCAATAGCAATTTATTTCAATAATTAAATAATTTTTTTTTCCGTGACTTAGCAGTCAAATAAGTACAAAATAATTATTGCACGTACTATACAAATTATGTATTTTGCAAATTAACCTCAAGAAGAAAATCGTTTTACAATAAATGTAGACGTATTTTGCACACGTATATATAATTTTATTTAATATATCTATGTACTATATTCTGGAACTATCCAATGAAAAATCCCGGGTACGCCACTGACGTCAATTGCATTATTTTCTATGTTCGTATAAAACTGTTATAAAAAGTATTCAAAACGTAATGAAATTTACGGGATTATATCGTTCGGTTTTTTTTTTATTCGTAGTCGAAGCATCGGATGTAAAATACGAAGTATATTTCGAACGAAAAAAAAATTATCAAGTTAGCGATATCTTTTATATTTTATGGGATCTCATAATGCCCGCAGCAATGATGAGATGCTATATATATATATATATTCATATAGCTCGTTCGAGTGAAATGATTAAAAGCCCGGAGAAAAATCATTGTAATCCGAAAAAAAAACTTTTTATCCGTCAGTTTGTTCGTTCACAAACTAACGTATTAAGAGTGTTCTTGGACCAAAATCCAGATTTCTTGTAAACAAATAATACGTAAGTATTTATAATATTTTAAATATACTTATGATTTGTAAAATGTGAACGATATTATTATCTTCGACGATATACAAGTATTTATTTCTGTTGGTTTTTGTATTATTGCTAGTATAGTTTTGTAAACTGTTGGCGACAATTAAAATAATTAAAATAGTTTAAACCTCTTAAAATTGTATTATAACGAACACCCGCGAACAGAGTGAAACGAATGTTTTGATGTAGACGTGGATATAAAGACAGCTACGAACAGTGAAGCGATCGGGACTTATTATCGGGGAGGTCTATGAAATTCATGTAATTTATTTCTTCAGGTACAATTTTGTCTAAACGGGCAAATATTTACCTTTGACTATAATACCTATACCGTGATATTATTTTACTTTTACCATAATGCTTCGTATTATGAACAAAACGATAAATGTATTACTATAAAAATACGTATAATTATTACGCGTATTGGATTCGTAAAAAGAAATTTTAATTTTTTTTCTTTTGGGTGGGGAGGAAGAGAAATGATTTATAAGTGCTGTATTGCCCTGAATCCACCGCACTTCCGGATCGCGGCCACTGATCACAACGATTTAGGAATCGAGTGACAAAAAGGAATTGTATGATCGGAGGCGATAAGAAGACCCAATAACAGTCAACAGGTACTATTATAAATATAACGCCGTGTTCGTCGTACCTATATCACTACAAAATATTATAAATTATGGTAAACCGATCGGTTTACAAAACGCCGTGTTAAAAACTGTTCGTGACGTAATACAATTCAACAGTACATTCGGAAAATTACCTACACTGCACCGCATTATTATTATTATATTACCGGGCGAGTGCGTAGGTATTAAAATAATTTTCACGTTTTATCGAATGTGGATAATAACGACATTTCGCTGAAATTAGTCAAATTCGATTTTATTTTATAATAATTATGAATTATACAATCGCTGCAGACTATCGATTCGATTCATTAACGAACACGGTGAATATTGCGATTGATTATAATATTGTTATATTTTATTTTGCCCGATAAAACGAGGCAAGCGTATTTTTTAACGTCGCAGCGAAAATACAAAATTTATAGTATTATCTCGCACCGATTCGTTAAAGAACGGGGAGATGATGGTTTAACGGTACTCGCAGCTTTGATCTCTCTAGATTTAATCGAATGTACGACGCGTAATGATTCGCCGTAGTCCTGCGTGCCTTAGATTTCTTATTTTTAAAAATGTGTAATTTGTATACAAAAAAAAACTACCTACCAAAAAATCAGATATTTTTTTACAATTATTACTACATCGAAAATATTGTTCTTATTATTGTATGCATATTATTACGTATTACTATTACTAGTACGTGTAGGTATAGTAAGAGCTTTATCACGACATGCGGTCACACATGGACGATGAATGGATCCGTGAATTATTCTAGGAGAGGGGAGTAACTAAAATGTGTCCAATACTAAACTTGGAAAGTACCTATTAATATTTTATTAAAGTATGTTCAACAGAGGGAGTGGAAATGACCCAATGACCCTTTTCCCCTTGGATTCACCACTGGGGATACTATAGCATTACTATAGAACTAATTTTACGTTTTATTACGTTATATTTTCGACTATAATGTTATTATTTCAATAATTACCGAGATTAGGACTGGATTGCCATATCATCTCCGCCGTCTTTTTCGACAGCCTTTGCCCTTTGTCCTCGTAATCGAGTCGTCCGAAAAACAGGCCGTCGTAACCGAATTGTGAGAACAGCGTGGCCATTTGCCGGGAGTGGCCGAACGGATCGATTTGCCAACCGATGTGCGGCCTTCCGCACTCGCCGAACGTATCGTTCAACTTTCTGTAACCGGAAATTACCATTGTTATTATTGATGTTATAATTTTTTATTTAGTACGCGCTGGTAAATATAGAAATTGTAATATTTTGTACTACAGAAATATCATTATCTCAGCAAAATAAAGTAAAAATTTAAGAGCATTAATATGAAGCCAAAACAATGTATCCACATAAAACAAACAGAAACCTCAAATATTTAACTTAAATAAACGCCAGCGTATTCGATAAACCGTTATTGCCCAAAATATTTCCGTTTTTTCGGTAGTTTTTCAGTTTTCCCAGAAAGAAGAAAAACGGACATAGTTCGCACCACGGGTGACTAGTAAGTGACGATTAATCATTGATGAAAAACGATTCTGAGTAGAGGTAGGTCAATAGTATTGTTTTCTCAACAATGTGCGGTTTTATACAATAATTATTTCAATAAAAACTTAATTATAACAAAAAATGAATTAAAGGGATTGCCAATAACAACCTTATTTTTAAGCTTTTGAATCTAAATAACCAGTTTTTCCTCATTATCTCGAATATTAAAAATTACATTTCCAAAGTGCCGACTAGAACCAAAATCCAACAAAGAAGGTCAATTGTTATGTTTTGATTGGGGCGAGATTTCTAGGAGAAATTTTGTACACAATATAAATAAATGATTTATACGTAGAAATTTAATTAATTAATTAATTATTGCGTCGCCTGGAGTATTATCGCTTGCATTGTACGACCAGTTTTGAATTAAAAATTCATCATCAGGTAGTACACAAAGTAAAAAAGTAAAATATATGTATTCTTTAATTTATTTTTTTATATTCAGTCGCGTTTTACTTTTTGACTCCGATACTCTTCTGAAAATAGTTTGCAAGTTTTCTGATCAGAAATTTGTTCACAGACAGAAAAAAAAGCACCCATCATCATAAATTTAATTTACGTTTTTCCTCTCAGAATCTAGAAAAATCTAGTTACATTATTGAAAACCTCATTTAAACCCCATTAATTTGGGGTTGGTATAATGTTAGTATAATAACAGAGCCATCTTTTTACTGTATGGTATTTTTACTGTTCAATGTTCATGTGTTAAAACATTCAAAATTCACGCGTTAAAAGTCTACAAGTTCTCACATGTATATTACCTTAAGCCCCAAGTGAATTGATCGACAATTGACATGTAATTGGAAGCAGCTTCATCGTTCATACTCCACGCGCCACCGATGAACTCCAACCGTCCCGACGCCACGAGATCTTTGACGATTCTCTGCGTTTCCTCTGACTGATCGACCCACCATTTCCAAAAGAACGCCGTCTCTACATAAATGAACCTGCGACCCCAGAACATCATGTTGGCAATATTTTGGTATGTGGTATATAGTTAAATAAACACGATTATGTAGGTATAGACTTAGGCATTTGTATAGATATTAATATATCATAAATGGAACATTAAGCCTGAGAACTTTGGACTGGCGTGGTTGTGCCAAACGGATCAAGAGATGAGACTGATATAGTAGGTCGATGTGTGAGAGATAAAAATACTCCACCCAAGGACAGCCTCAATTGAAACACTCCATCTAATCCTCGGGCCACTGGCACGACTTATTATTACTGAATGTTTCATCTAAATCTATGGATATTATAATACACATATTACCTTTTGTTTGGATCTTTTGCCAGTTCGCTGATCACGGAGTCTAAGATGAATTGCACTGCCGCCAATTGAATGGAACTATTTGCTAAAAATAGAAAAACAATTTTAAATGACGTGACGAAAGTGAATATAAGTTTAAATACGTTCCAAATTAAATCGAAAATAAATGACACCCGTTTTAAATGTTATAAATTATAGCCCTCGAATTTGTCTAGATGAAAAAATTAACAAAACAAAAAGACGCATCATTAGAAAAATATATTATACTGTACTATCAGGTGGGGATAATTGCCCTTTTTATGTTTCATATAAATTAATTTTATGTGAGTTTTCAGTGACGAAATACGAGTATGCCCACACAATTTTGCAAAGTCCTTCACTTCTCCGTTCGCTCAGAATCTAAAACGTTTCACGTTGTATTCGTGGAAGTTTGTTCAAATAATAATTACTCAGCGGTTGATACGGGCAAAAAAATATAAAACATCAAAAGGACACTGAGTTCGGTCCGCATTGTTTATAGATCACGTGGAGATTTTCCGTTCCAGCGTGACAAATATTATAATATACCTATATAACATATATAATACGTAAACAGTAAACACCATTGGTTATCATCTAACTTCGCTGCTTTAAATTAATAATATTTACAGTGAATAGGAGGTAGAGAGCAGAATAAAATGACATTCATCCAGGGTTATTGTGTAGGTACGTGCATAGAACGTCTCGTCGAGAATAGTGTCCTAATTTTTCCTAATTTTTTTATTAATAAAACTGCAGAAAAAAAAATCGAAAAACGACTTTCTTACTTACCTACCAATTAGACTGAAAATTCAACAAAAAGATGGCTTTTTGTTTTTCTATTAGAGCAATATGTATTGTATAAAACATCAGCCGTACAATTTTGAAATAATAAATCATTGCGCCATAATTTGAAAAAAAATCGTATTTTTCGTCTTTTTTTGTTTTTCCCAATAATTATAAAAAAAAAAAAAAACACTTTAGATATCAAAATACAACTCTTTTTGTCGGTGGCTACATATTAAAATTAACAAAATCGATCTCTTATCATTTTTCGATAGGAACAATATATCTAGAAGAAAATATCGTGTTAACATAATAAAAACAATGAAAACGGCAACGTTGCGGTGCGCCGTGAATATTTACCGTTTTTCCGTAGAATTTTCTTTCGGGATTTTCAAAATAATTGTGAAAACCCTTCAGAAAATCAAAAAATTACCTCCCAATGCACCAACTAGATAAAATTAAGCTAATACACATAATACTTCGGAGAAAGTTTTCTGGTAGAAAAGTCATTCTACACAGGCACAAAGAAGAAGAATAACACTCATCATATTGTAGTAAAACCAATAAACTCGTTACGCTCCGAATCAGCTTTCGTTGATGATATACAAAATTTTACTTTTCTTTACATTTGAGCACTAAAAATTCCCTCTCGCCTGACCAGTACAAAGACCTGTACAGAGGTACATGCACATAATTGTTTTGAGATTAGGATACATATGATATACATTCTGGTTTTGTCGACAGTGATTTCAAGGTACGCAACTCTAACTGAACAGCAACACCTTCGTAAAACTGATTTTACCGAACAGCATATGTCAACAATTTTTACAGAATATTTAATGCTTGATTAGAAAAAAAAAAAAATGTGCTACAACGAATTTATAATTAGTAAAAAAAAAAAAAAAGAAAAAAATTGCCATCGCTATACTATTGGAGCTCTTTCCCGCCGATTTTGATAGCGTAAGCTGCAGGTCACACCGCTTACGCCGTTATCCGGGCCCGGAAAGTTGTTACGTAGGACATTGTTTAAAAACCTATACATTTCATTTACCTCATGAATTCTATTATGCTGTCACGACGTACATTCAATTTGTATACTATCCTCTCGTCCGACGATAATTATTGTTATTGTATCGTTTAAAAGTTTTCGAAACGTATAAAAAAAGGGATTTTAATGCAAATTAATCATTCGCCGCCATGATACCCGTAAAATTCGTATTACAGCCCGTCTGTATAAATAATATATATATACACGGGTTTAGCGGACTCCGGGATTTCGGACTTTGAAATGGATAAATCGGTTAGGGATTATAATGACGGTGGTTTTTTTGACATTAAACTGTCAATCGAGTATCTGGTACGCGCCTATCGCTATCTATATAGCGATTTCCGTTGAAATTTAAATCTTTTAAATTTCGAAACATAGTATATAAGTATATCTACACATATTGATTTTAGTTCCAATTCCAATTGACAATTTACATTAATAAAACACGTGTGTTCTTCTTTGAAAAATATATCCCGAAGGTTCAATGGAAAAAAAAATCGATAAAAAAGAGTAGCGGTGCCGGTGATCTGGAATACTGTAGCCTGCAGGTTCGATTCGACGGATTTGACGGAAAATGACGCAATATTTTACCACGTACAAGTACTGGTATCGTGACTTGTTGAACAACAACTGTCGTCTAGCAATACTAATATTATTGCAACAATAATATTATTATTGTGATAACATAACCAAACCGAACGGAATTTCGACATTATGTAATGTAGCCGATTACACGGTTGGCGGATATTGGGTATCAATAATTGTGTCGGCGTTTTTTAAAAATATTTATTATTATTTTATTCTTACTTTAAATTTTGAGTTTTTTAGGTTGAATGTTAGTTACAATATAAAACACGCCATTATACCGATTTCAAACCGTAGAACAATAATATTGTGTTATGATAATGCTTTTAAATCATTTTTCGGATTCTGAGAGTAATTTTTTCCTGCCTGTAAATAATTTTTCTACCAGAAATCTTTCACCAATCGCTTAAGCTCTGAGATTTTTGAGTTCTATGAAATTATCAAGTGTTTTATTTCTCTGGGAGTACCTAAATTTTATTTTTTTATTGCTTTTTTAATACTATCGTTCCACCAGGGAAAATACTCTTGGTTTAACGCTTTTGTTGGATGTGCCTATTATTTTTTTATTTTTTACAGTGTCTGTTCTTATTTTTAAGGTTTGCACAAGTTTGCGTCGTTTTTTCAATAGCTTGAATACTATTGTCGATTAGTTCTGAAACGTCTGCACCTATAGCTTTGAATATAAAGTCCAATTTGGGTTTTAGATTTCGAGGTGAGGGGGGGGGGTTTAGACAAAAAAAGCAAATTCAACATGAAATGTTTCGAAGGATCTTTTGACTTAATGATTAATGGCATGTGTAATTTTTTACTTAATTCTAATAAAATATATTGTGTGCATTCTATATACGTACACATATAACTGATAAATTATACAACACATCTAGTTTAAATTGTCTTAGGATCATTGAAAATGAAAGCATTTTCAAATTAACTATACATTATTAATAATTTTGAAGAACGCGTGTCATTTTTTTAGGAGATGGTATTTTGTGCCAATTTTATTACTTGTATTTCGCGCCACCAATAGGTACATTTAAGTACGTACCTTTGTAATTTGCGACAACATATATAAATATAAAATGTACTTTGCGGTACACCTAAAAATTAATTTTAGTAATTTGCGCCAGGCTAGAAAACGAAATGGAATATGTAATCTGCGCCACACTCTCGACTTCAATTGTTGGAATTTATCAGCTAATTAGAATTTACTAATATTGCATTGATATAATATAATATTGTTGTGTTGTACTAATAATAAGTAGAGACGAAATCGATTACGTCTAATCTAAGTCCAATCCAATAAAAATTATACATAAAGTACGTATACTTATATACATTTAATTATAATTATGATATTACTGATTTTTTTTTGTTTTATTTTGCTAACCGAAATTGTATTACCTATTTAGTAAACAAAAAGTACTATTAAAATTAACTTGATTGATCAACGATTAAAAATACTGTATCTGTTAATCTGTTTAAAAAAAATTGTTTAGTTATTTTAAAGTGGCGCAAATTACAATTTTAATAAGGCGAACAATGGCGCAAACTACAATCTTAAAAAGTGGTGCAAATTACCAAAATTAATTGTTAGATATTGCGCGAATTACATACGCCCATCTTTTTTTATACTTATCAGACGCTTAAAGCATCTGTTTTTTTTTTCTTGTAATTTTTGATATTTATTTATATAAATTGGACAAAATTATTTCACTTACTGCCGAAATAGTATTGATCGACGGTCTTCAGCCAACCAACGTCGTCATGTGTATGCGGAATAAAATGCACATTGAGGTATCCTTCTTTGACCGGATGACACGACTGGAAAAAAAAAATGACAAAGGGTCATATTCATCGATCAAAGTCTATAATAATTTGCATAATACTTTTACATGTACATTTTCACCGTTGAAAATAAAACGTCGTCGTACGTATGTACATAATATTTATCGAAATACAGAAATCGAAAACCAAACGATTCGGAAGACACGTTGATACTTTTTTATCGTTCGTTTTGTTTTTATTATGCTGCAGTATTTTAATATAAACATTTAAATTAGTATTTTTCCCCCCAGTGAAACGCTCTTTTTTATTTATTATGATTAATACAATACTTACCCGTAGTAGTGGACGGATATATTAAACAGTAACAAATATTGACAAAACGAGCGGATTTCAAGTACGTATAATATTTAAACTGACCTCGACGGGTCAAAGGCAATTGAAATGCATAAAATAATAATGTCAATACGAAAATCACCGAAACGATCAATTTAATTTATTACCAATTGTTTTACATATAAAATGTACGTACTGTGGCATGCTAATATGTTGTGAATCGGAGGTATTTTCGAAACATAGGAAAATTAAACTGCATAGAGATACAGCGGTGATGAGACCAACGATTTGACCTGTATATTTCGATCGTTGTATAATACGACCACAAACCAAGCAAATGAAACAAGGTTTGATAAGTTATGTGGACATATTTTAAACATAGAAAAAATAAACGATTAGAGAATAGAAATTATATTGAAATCATTAAATAGCTGTGGAATAAAACGGATGTACTGTTGAATCACAGCTGTTATAAAAATAAGTCAAATAATAATTATTTGTTATGCGTGATTACCGTGTCATATATGCAAGGTTCTTCCTTGGACGCATACGACAGTAAACATTAAAAAGAACCCTAAAACTTTTGGTGCCGTGCACTAGTCGCCCATGCGTTTACCGCTCAACACATTTTTCGTGCTATATCCGCCCGTTATCGTTATCTTTACCTGCTGAAATTATATTACATGTATTATTCGCTCGAAATGTTAAATATTATAAATAAATTGCATAAAATTGTCAAATTATTATAGTTTCGATTCTGATTTCTGAACAAATAATTAATAAGTATAGTCATAAATTGTATTTCACGTAATTTTTTACGTATAAATTTTCCATCGTCACTAGTACAATACATAGTCGAATTCATCAATGGAAGGCTTGAGCTTGGAGTACGTACCAACAAAAGAAAGGAAATGTATATACATTTAGATCAACGTATCAAACAAATAATTGAAAATTTCTAAAATATTTAAAAAAAAAATGTTTATTAAATATATCGCTTGTTCAAAAATTAAATTAGATTAGACATTGATAAAAACGTGTATAAATATATATAATGTACTCGTAAGTTGAAATTTAACTTAATTTAACTTAATATTTAATATCAAGTTATAATAATTAATTCACAATAATTATGTACTCGTAATACAATATTTCAATAATTTAAATACGCGTTAATTTATAATATTTAATTTTGACCGGATAGTCCACCTTATATAATTTTAGCATTTGAGGATTACGATAACGGACGGAAATAACGCGAAAAATGTGATGAGCGGAAATCGCCCGAGTGGAAAGTGCACACCACCAAACCTTAGGTCACCGGGCAGTTGAGATGTGGATCAAATACGGGGTTAATGAATTGGAAGAATACTAGTAATTTGTGTATAAAATATTGAAAATTGTATATGGTTTATTTTTTTAATAACTTTAGAGGCTTTTTCGTGAGTGAAAGAAGAAGAAGTGGATTATTGTTGGAATATGTGAACACGGTGTGATTCGATTACTGAACAATTACCACGAGCATGCGAATATAGAGAAAGAACTTTATCGATTAAATTTGTCATCAGGGTCAAAACGAAGATGATCATCGCGGGGAATTTATAAAATATTATAACGTCACATTCTTTTATTGTTTACAAATTAAATTCCGCAGCACAAAAAAAAAAAAAAGAAAAAATGCATTCCTCGCTATGCTCTGCAAAATCTAAAAAAAAAATAAAAGATAAGTGAGTTTACGACTTTTATTTTATTTTACGACGATAATCGAATTCCGTGTACACAAATTAAACTAACCGCTCTTTTCCGACTTTTCTTCGTTAGTAACACAAACCGTGTCATAATAATTTTGTAACAATCACTTAATCCTTGGCCGATTCCAAATAGTTGAGATGAAGGCGAAAAAGAAGAAAATCAACAATCGACTAATCCTTAATAATAAAACACCTCTGCAGGAAACCCAATAAAACAAATTCGTGTTATGTTTCTTATATATTATGTTACGGAAAAAAATAAAATAAAATAAAAACACCAGAGTAAAACTAGAAACTTAACATTACTAATCGGTTTTTACAACCCGCTACAGTGACGATGAAATTATTATGATACCGAAATCATTAATAAAATATTACAAATACGTGTTACATTATAAGTGCTCTAAGTTGATATGTATCGTAACATTGTAACCTAGTTATAGTAAAACGAGAAAAAAGAACATAATATTCTCACGAAGATAAACATCTAAAAAGTTTTTTTTTTTATTAATCGGCGTGGTGGTTACATTTACACGTACACATTCGTATAATATGTTATCATTTTATTACGTGTGTAACGGTGTAAGCGGTGAATGTTTTTTTTTATTTTTTATAATATTCAATTAACGAGTTGAAGTAACTAATGATTTATGGTTTATTTTTCGATGTTTATCTATGTATATAATACATTTACAAGGTACTCCGGGTACTTGGCCCAGTGGAACAGTTATGTGTGTGTGTGTGGTTCAGAAATTATCTATACTTACCACCAACTCATTTACTATACAATAAATCAGTTATTAATCATTTGTTTATAGATATTAATACTTCAACTCACTTCAGATAAAGCATAGGTCTCAAAAATCAGTCATTGCCACCGATACTATTTCTATATAGTTATACGCGCCTGTTTTTTCTACATTATTATAATTTGTAAGTTTAAAACACACGACACACGACTTCCCTAACCAAGGCAATATATATTGAGTGACTCATACGGCATACAGGAATATCTATAATAATTAGTGTTTGCGATTAATAACTGTGAGTTTTTTTATAAAATCTCGAGAAAAATCACAAGAATATTTAACACTTATCACCGTATTATATCAATATTGTAGTAATTGCCACAGTAGAAGAACACTATGTAAAGATCAACGTAGATAAAAACTGAAACGGTTAAAAAAAAAAAAAAAAGAAAGATTTAAAAATACAGTTATGGGAATGTGATATCATAGACAAATCATACTTTTCGTCGTCGTCTATACAATGATGAGTTTTAAAATGGTGTCGACAGGAACGTTTATGAACATTTTGTGTGGGAAAATCTGTTTTATCTCAAAACGAACACGATTTAGTCAAAAACAGTGTACATATTTATTACGAAAATTAACGAACTCAAATATATCTCTAGGCGAACGTGTAAACATAAAGGGTAATTTTATTTTACATTCTAAATACGCACTCGAATAAATGAACCAAAAAGTATTAGAATACGTACTCGATTAAGCTTGAAAAAATATATAATAAATAATAAATATTATTTAGATTTGCGAATATTTCAAAAAATATTTGAATAGTTTACAAATATTTTTTTTTCAGCTAATTTATGTCAGTTTCAGAAAAACAGTTCTGAGATTACTTTTTTGTGGCTCAATATCTTATTAAAATATAACTTATCAAATATTATGACATCAATAGGCCAATTTTTAAACTTCGATAGCAAAATACAATAAAAAAAAAATGTCTACTATGGGTATGTTTATAATTTATCGTGTAACCGTATAAATCTACGCTTATAGTTTTCGATTAAACATTTTAAACTTTTATCGGTTTCAGAACCTAACCTGTGTTTTTTTAATGAATAAAAAATGCCGCAAAAAATATACAGAATGCGTGATTCGAGTGTTTTTCCGAAAATTATTTAAAATTTTATTATAATATGAAAATATTTTAATGTGAATACATTTATTCGAAACATCACCTTAAATGAATTGGCGTTTGGTGTATCGACCTATTTGTAAGTTTCGCGGAACGTGCGGTTTTCGTTAAATTTCGCGAAAACGACACGGCGGGATGTTTTCTTGAACTTATTTGAATAAGTTAATATTTTTTTAATTTTTTTTCCCCAACAAAACGCTATTTTTCTAAAATGCTCACACTCCGTGCGGTTCGACGGCGGTAGACATCCGAGGTGGTTACATCTCTGCTAGGAGAAGAACTGTTACCATATTAACGATACCTATACCTATATTGACAATAAAAATGTCACGGAACGTAATATAATAAATGAACGAGACTTATAATGTGCTGCACCGTAGCGCGTCGTCGTCATTTTAAATTAGTATTCCCGACGAGACGTTCTACGTATACGTACTTACCTACCTACCTATACACAATAACGCTGCATAGAGCGTCCCTCTGTTCACTGTGAATATTATTAATTTACCGCGGTAGAAGAGAACCTAACCAATGGTGTTTACGTATTAGAGATATTTTTCGTTGTTGTATATGCATTGTCGCTTTGGAACGGTAAATCTCCACGGGCTTCGTATGTACAATACGGACCGAATGCGGTGTCTTTCGACGGTTTTTCTTCTTTCCCCCACCTCCAACCGTACCGACCACTGAGCAATTACTATTTGAACAAGAGTCCACGAAAACGGCGTAAAACGTTTTATATTCCGAGCGAACCGAGAATCATGCACTATAAGTGTTAAAACTGTAGGTTTTTTTTTTTTTTTTTTTGTTTTGTTATTATGCCTGTAAGCCTAGTTTTCCGGTAGTAAATTTCGTCCGGTCGGAATGTTCTTTGTATTTTTCTGAATCGCAACGGCGGAGGAACCGAGAGAATAGTTTAAGGTTTTTAAAATATTCTGGTGTGTTTTTACTGTTACCGTTATACTATATAATATATGAAATTTTCGAGATTTTTCTTTTTTGTTTTGACGTGGACAAAATATCTTTTGCCTCGTCAATTGTCTTATACAACAAGGTTAATGATAAGTTGTTAGTGTGAGTTGTGGTATTCGATTTTTTACGGCTCATATTTTCTACTAGAAACATGACTCCAATAACAAAACAACAAGAGACCTTTTTTGTTGCACCTAGTTGATGAGTCAAAAAGTCGATATTTGATTTTTCCTGTAGATTAATTAAATAATTGAGCGAACCCGAAATAAACGTAGAATGAACGGGAAAACGTACGAAAATAATGCTTTTAGATTCTGAGTGGAGCGATGAAGCTCATGGTTTTACAAAGATGTTTTTTATTTTTTTGTCTGTGCACAACTTTTATACCAGAAGACTTGTTCGAATTTCTACGTGTAGCATCTTTTCTGAAAGAAAATTTCACTAGGGGAGTACTTTACAAAGGTAATTTTTTCATTTTTCCCGTAGTTTACTTAAAAAATGTGAAAAACTAGGAAAACCGGAAAAATCGGTAAAAAATTAAACAAATACTATTAAAGAAAATATGTAGAGCCTATTTAATTATTTTACTATAATATGACATATAAATTGTTGACGAAGCATCACTATCAACTGAACTCTGCTCAGAATCGTTTTTTCGTTTGTAATGGTTTATCGTTATTTACAGCTAAATATTAAATTACCTATAACAGTAGCTGCACCCGTCCCCATTATCCTAGGACGTCTTTTTATTGTTTTTAGTTTTGTTTTTTGTTTATTGAGGATTGTATTGATTTTATAAGCATGTTTATTTTTTTTTGTGAACAACTTATATCTATTTAATTCTGATTTTCAAGTGTAACATTTTTTTTGTAAGTAATATATACTTTTTACTCATTACTTTCTACACGTGTAGATATTAGTTTTTCCCGATGAAAATTCAATACGTTCTTATTCGGATATTTATAATACGTTTGATTAATAATGTTAATTATTGCATTTTTAAATAAGTATGTATACCTATCTACTGTAATATAGGTATCCGTATAAACATTTTTCAATATAGGTATTATCATTGATTATAGAATAAAGACTATTCTTTAATCAATGGTATTATATACATATATTCAACGTTTAAAGGTCACAGAAAATAAAAATATAAACAAAGTTTTCTATACAAAAATCGATTACCATTACCTACAATACGCCTTGTTAATTTTTGCACCGTATATAATATTATAATTGTTTTTACCATACAGGTGAACGGCCTAGAAACGAATACAATAATATCAAGTGCCGATAGTCTAATTATTATCGAATTTATTGGCCGTTGAATAAAATAATTCGATATTTTTATTGAAATAATGTGCTACATAATTATGCTTTGACTGACGTTCAACACGCGTATTATTCGTCAAAGATGCGAGAAATATAAGAAATGTCAGAAATACATGACATATATATGTATATTAAAATAACTTTGGGCTCAAATCGTCAATCGGTTTAAATTTCGAATAACTTTCAAACTTGATGCGTACTTTTGAATACCCGAAATATTCGAATCTCCATAACGCGTTAGAAATAAAAAGTAACTACAGTTAAGTTCTTAGTTTTTTTTTTTTTTTTTTTTCATTAACTTTAAACTTTAGTCAATTCAAATGTGATTACAATATCGACGTATTTGTATTTGTATGTAATTTATCGTTAATGTGTTTTGTATTATTATTGTCACGTATTACCTTATTAAAATTAATCGGAAAGATACCGAATTTCAAGATACTTAACCGTACAGCAACGGAAATTGTGCAACTATGTGCAGCTAATGTAATCTAAGTATTTATCATTAAGCCGTAATATAATAATATAGAATATTATCGACGCAACGGGAAAATCGATGAAAAAACATATTCAAATGATAAGTTAAAATCTGTTTTAATTGTTACTGTACAATATAGTCATTTAGAATCGAAAATTGTTTAAAAACAAATAAAAGACCTAGCGGTATAAAATAATGAATCGATTTCGAGTACTCTGAAACGGTGTTTTTTTTTACATTTTACAAATGTAAAAAGCGCCGATCGGTCGATACATTATAATACTATAATAATGAGATTTAAATTAAACAAAATACTATATTCGAAACGTTTTTAGGACCCCAAGGAATTGTGTTGGTATTTGAATGCCAAAATTATTCGAACGGTTTAAGATTCTGAGCGTAGCGAGGAATGTATTTGTTTTACACTGTAATAATGATGTAGGTACGCTATTTTTTGTGCGTATATGTAAAACTTTTACTATTAGAAATATAGTTTCAATTGAAAAACGGTTTAAAGGAAATTTTTTCGTAGCAAATTTTATCCAGTCGGTGTAATATTGAATACATGTTTCGATTTTCTTTGTAGTTTTCTTAATAACGGGTAAAATTTGAGAAAAAATCGAAATGTACGCTATAACGTTTTTTTATGATTCGGTTAAAAATATTCGTAGAGACTTGACATTTTCACCGATTAATTATTTTGTAGTCTTTTCTGACGTGGTAAAATTTTCAAATTTAATTAATTTATTTAATTTTATTAATAGCCATTTAGAATTATTCAGTTTTCTTAGTTTTTATTTGGTTTTTATACAAGTATTTGATTTCAAATACAAATACTTTTGAAAAATATTTAAAATACTATAGTTAATCATTTCACACTATTATTTAAAATACATATTCGAATACAGTAAAAATAGTCGAGTATTTTTAATTAAATACTTTTACTAAAATATTTAAAAAAATCTGTAGTATTACACGTAATATCCGATAAAAAGATATATTCTCACCGAGACGTGAATATTGTTATACACGTATGGGATACGATTATGCGTACATACCTAATAGTAGTTATCATTGCAGATTTTCGGAAATAAAAATTCGCCAAATAACCTAGAATGATTTTTCTATCCGTAATGCACGCATAAAAATCAAAAGACTGATTCTCTCTGATTGATGCTCTGTTTACCCGGATGATAACATTTAGGAATAATAGGGAATACGAATGGGATTAAAGAACTATAATAATGGAAAAAAAATACCTATTCAATATTATTAATATAATTAATAATTATATTAATATCGTATTTACCTCGTATCCGCATTTCGGGACAGCGCCGGCGGTCTTTTTCCACGGCAAAGCTCGGCAGGTGTAGATGTTTGCGCAAAAGACCAACAGCGCCAACAACAGCACTCCGTCCACGGGGACGCGGTACATTTTTCTGGTCTTCGGGGAAAACGATATCGCGGTATGAGAATTACGGTGATAATAAAGTGAACGGAAAATATAGGGCAAGTCTATAATATTATAATATCGCTGCAACATATATGAATATGACGTTATTGTACCCGCGAAACGACGTCGGTTTCGCCTCGGAGACACGCGTCCTTATCGCGATGATAATAATATTAAAATATTATTGCCTACGTAGTTTTCATGCCCGTAAAACTATAACAATATACAGGGGGGATATAAACCTACGTGAAAATAATGTTTTGCGACGACAACGGCTGCTTTTTGGGCCCGAGTTGAGCCCCGTTCGGATATAGGTACAGCGGTCGACTGATCCGGAGTCCAGACGTTTTGACCGGTAGATATTTTATTATTATATTTTATTCGTTTCGTTTATAGTAGTGCACAGTCATGTGTGTGTGTGTGTGTGTGTGTGTGTGTGTATGTATGTTTGTATGCCTTCCTACCGGTTTTTACTCGCTGCTGCAGTTCATTCTTCTATATCGCGTCCACCACCACCGCCAGTCGCCGCTACGATATACATATATATATATACAATAATATTATAATGATAATAACAGTACAGTACGTACACTCATACAGAGGAAACTAGCAACATGTGTTATTATCGGTATTGTTATTATCATTTTTGTAGCTGCGTGATATAAAACGTTTGTGCGGTGCCCGCACAATCTCAATACGCACGACCTTTGTCGCGTTATAGTGTAGGTACATCGTTAGAGAACCGCGAGCCGATCCTGTTCTGTCGATCGGCTCCAATACCCACGAGATAAGAAGCACTTTCGTTAGCAGCGAATAGTTACTGTTAATCATCATTGCTCGTGACTTTATACCGTTCCAATCGAATAACACGATTGTTCAGTATTGCCCGCGATCAATTTTTCTAAATCAAAAAATCAAACGCGATAAAAATAGTTTTCGCTGGAATTATAAGTAAATAATACACAGGCGCGGAACCAGTTGGAGGCGGCAGGCCCCCCCCCCTTCGCCCGTTGGCCGTATCAAAATGTATTATTTAAATTTAATATTTTGCGTTATCCTATGTAAATGTATTGTTTTATTATTCAGTCACAAATGGTTGTATTTTATTTTAATAAATAGCACACATTTATAAATCAATAAATTGTTGCAGTCCAAAAGCCAGGATAAATTTTCAGCTACAATAATAATTAAAAATGTAATTTGTATTTTGAAAAATAAACGAGAAGATAGTTGTAACTGTTTTAACAAAATATTTAAAACCACTGAAAGTCAGGTAATTAACTTGGACATTTTCAGGAGGAATTGACAAACTAAGATAATCTAAAGTAATGAAAAACAGGGAAAATCCTCAAACTGAATCTGCTGAAGAATATTTTAGAGTAACGCTCATTATTCCCTTTCTTGATAATTTACTAAATGATTTAAAATCTAGATTCGATGAAGATTTGATGTCAGTTTATGATGTGGACGTGGTGCTGCCCAACACAATTAAAATAAAATCCATTTTTGATGACAAATGTAAATTAGAAAATAGAACAAAAAATGTAATTAATCAATTCGGTGATGTAGTAGCTTGTGAAATAAATATACCTAGAGATGTTTTAGAAACTACGTTAATGGGTGAATTTGAAGTTTGGCATAATAATTGGTTGCAAGACGAACAATTTACCTTCATCGCCTTCAGAAGTTCTCAAACGATGTGACCAGGACTGTTTTTCTGGAATTTATGTATTGATAAAAATACTTATCACGTTATCAGCTACAGGTGCAACAACTGAACGGATTTTTTCATCACTACGGTGAATCAGAACATAGGTGAGGTCGAGAATATCGGAGGAACGACTAAATGGACTGGCATTATTACACGTTCATCGAGATGTCGAGATACACCATGATGAAACCATTGACACATTTGCTCAACCAGCAAAACAGAAGATTGGACTTTGTTATATTATTTACAACTACTACATGTTTTGACATTTAAATTTGCATACAATATTTTTTATTGTGAAATTTTAAAAAGGTATTTGATAATAGAAGGGTAATTTTAAGTTGTAAATAATTCAATAAAGACATTCAATTCAGTTTACGAAAAAAAGTATTCATTACAATTAATAAGCAATTATTGCATTAAGTACTATTGCATGTATGTATACTCGTATTTACCAGTAGTTAAATAGTAAATATGTATAGATATTTATAATCCGCCCCTCCCGTTAATGTAGGCTGGATCCGCGCCTGATATAACAAACACGAATTAATAATGGAATTATTTCACCGTATCATAGTATAATACCTTTAAACATCTTTTCAAGATGTTTACAGGTATTATCCAGACCTATGCAGGCGTAGACGGATCCTGGACAAGGTTACGGGAGGGACAGTTTTGAAAATTTTGCTCCGAATTTTCGCGGTATTTTACGGAAAGTCCAATATTTTGAATATGACGCCATATTTACGTTAGCAGAAATGAAAAAAAAAATATATCCATTTATTACAGATCGGAGAAATGCTCTTTTTTTTTTTACTACGTTTATGGCGGCAGTTTCATAGTCGAGTATTATAGATATTGGATTCAATTGCTCATTTTAATTCCACGATTTTTTTAATGAACGAGTGTATACTTCTCCAGTTTTATTTAGAAGAAGTGCGTAAACAAATGGTAAAACGTTGCTACGAATTGTACAAGGTTGATAAGAAAAATACTAGGCGACGACGAAAAAGTACCATCGGTTTCAGCGCAAGTTATAAATGTTCACAATCAACCGCCATTTCTAGATTTCTGTCGTTAAAAAAATTGTAATTCGTAAGATTTCTCAGTTTTCTGTACAACAAAAACGGTTTACCATCGTCCAATATTATCGTAAACTTGGCTGGAATATTAAAATCATTAAATGATGTTGAAACCGCAGCTGATAACCAAAGACGCCCACAAAGGGGTATCGGTGGGGCCATGGCCTCCCCCGCTATTATAAATATAAATTATTTTATAACTTGCATGACTTAAATATTTAAGCCATGATTACTTATAAGTTGTAAGTTGTAAAAAACGTCTTATACTTTTGACTTTGCCCCCCCCCCTCGGTTTATATATCTGCGAGTACCATTGCTGGTGCCATGATTCCTTTTTGACGAATTTGACAACCGCTTCAGAAATCTATCGAAATTATAATATTAAAATATTTAAATAAATTGTTTTATAAATTGATAAAATTGTTTGATCAACTAGAAATACATTTTTAATTTAACACAAAGTAAATTAAATTTGTAATCAGTAGTAATCAAAGAAGTCGTGCGTAGTTTTTTTTATAAGCGTTTTAAGATCAAATATTGACGAAAATCGTTAAAATGACGGCTTTTGAAAACATTAAAAACGTAAAACTAGCTCTGATTCGTTTTTCGTAATTTTCCCTCTTTAACACCTGATGGAGTTTATTTTCAATTAAAATTCTACTAAGAATATACAAATGTAAAAAAAAAATTAGTTTAGACGTTTATATGAGTATAAAAATATTTAGCTATTTTATTCCAATTATTTTTTCTGCATTTTAAAAACTAAATTTTATGAATATTAATTATTGTTACCTATAAAAAGGACAGTTCTTAATGAAACTGCCTGAGTACTAATTTCAGTATGTTTTGACGTTGATTTTAAAGTTTTCAATGCTTTTCTTGCTTCAATTTTTTAAAAATCGGGTCCATGGTTGTTAGTTTGTTTCACTATCATTAACTTACTCCTTTTGACCACCCAGTAAACGGATAAGACCGCAACATTTTTCGTATTACTTTCGATACCTGGCCAACTATTATTTTCATCGAACTTAAATGTATAAATATCCGGTATAACACAAGAGGTCACTATTTTCATTTTTAATGAATTTCTAACTATTATAAATGTCTAACGTGTAGATAAGTAACTGATAATTTGTTCGAGAAGTGAACGCTGAATTATGTACTGTTTATAAAACTTGGAACTCGATAGTGTGGTACGATCATGTATGATGCAGTGGCATATTTAAGGGTGGGGCGATAGAAGACATAACTCCCCCTTAGCAAATCATATGATAATATGTTTATTGAACTTATTAGCGTTTCTAAAATATAATCAATAAATATATATATATATATATATATTTTTTATAAGAAATTTGAATTATTGTTTTTTGAAGATATTCATGTTGAAAACAAATAGCAAGCATGAGTTAGGTAGAAAGTACTTTAATATTTAAATATTTGTAATTCCTTACTAATGACCTTGAACAAAAATTGTATTATTCGGAATATGGTTGATTACTCTTAATTTATTTTTTATTAATAATAGTTAAATTCTATCTTTTTTTCTTTTCAGTTACTATTAACATTCTCTTTTTGACTTAACACTTCCTTATTATTTATATTCTATGTATTAGTCATATCTGCTACTTTTATTATTTTGTTAATACTTAGATGAAAAACTTGGCTGAGATTAAAAATGCGCCATGATCGCTTAACGGGTTTTAGCATTGCTTTATATTCATAAAATATTGAAATATTAAAAAAAGAAGTATAGATATTTTTTTGTAAATAAAAATGCGTTTTGTTCTATCAAATACGTCTACAAAAGGGGGTTTACATCCTTAATATCGCCCCCGCCCCTGAGGTGAAGTCTTAAATACGCCAATGGCAACATGGTCGCGTACTTACGCAGCGATAACAAGTAATATTATTAAAATAAATATCAATAATAGTCTGGTATATGGTAAAAATCGTAATGAAATACGCTTCAATTTCAAAATAAATGTCTTGATAAGAAATGACATTTATATATTATGCTGAAAAAATATTATATTATTATACCTTTGAATGTCGATCAAATGAAAAAAAAAAAATGATTAAGTTATTAATTATTGTTGCGAATTGATAAGCGTATAAGTGTACTCAAACCATTTTTGTATTTATTTTTGTATACTATAAAGTCAAATACATTACGGAAATCATATTATATACTGCGCTCAATTGTCAGGGCGCTAAATATCGTCTTCCTTAAATTTTCGGGCCACCGGCTTAGGGTCCGTTAATAATATAGACACAATGGATATAGTTTTTTTTTCCCCTCGTGAATATATTATGCGAAAAAACAATTCAACGCTAATTATCATTGTTGACGATTTTTCGGATATAATAATACAAAGTTCGCCGCAGTAATCGGTCGTTACGATTGTAGAGATTTTGTCGTACAATAATATTTATAACGAACCCCATTACAATGAGGCCACGACGATTATTACTATTATAATGCTAATTCGGTCGGTAATGTATAGCAGTCTTACTTCGTTATTTTATTTGTATTGTTTACGATGAACTTTTTTTTTTAGAGAATTTCAACGACCGAACACAACGCCATGACGGACGTACTACGCACGGTCATACATTTTTAACTGAGAAGTTTGCTAGGTATATGATATAAAGGGTAGATATAGTATTATTAGTTCCTGTACTGTAAATCGTTGCATTAAAAGAAAAACGATTCTGAGCGGAGCTCGGTAAGGGCGTTGAGGTTATAAGAGACGGTCAACATGGATATGTTCGCGAGCCACGCGGATTACATATTCGTGTTCAACATAACGATCATGAATTCAACAATACGAGACGGTTTTATCTTTATGTTCTCGTATATATAAATTAACATTTATATTATTTTTCGTTTTAAAAAAATACATAATAATTAACATATTAAAACCACTTGTTTCGTGTTTCTATACAACAATATTACACTGTTCGACTCGAAACTTTCAAGCATTTGTCATGTCAATTGGTCTGAATGTGTTAGATAAATATTAAAATATATGTAGTTAGTTAAATAATGTTGTGTTTTTTATGTTTTTGTTCGTATGGAGGTGTTCGAATTAGAAAAATAAAAGAGGGACTATAAGACTTAAAAGAAATCAGCTTCTCTTGCAGTTATCATGGCCCGTAGGTGGTTGGCTTCGCCAATCGCCCTAATAACAATTTTCAAACATTATTCAGTGATGAATAATTCACTAAAAAAAAAAAAACTTTATAACAACACTACAGGCTAAGTTTTCGCTTATATGTATAATGTATATATATTATGTATTTATTTTAGATTCTAATCCTACTAAGATTACTATGATATATGTCTTTTTTTCTGTCTGTAAATAATTGTTCTACCAAAAATACTGCTTCGACCATCAACATTAGGAGGGATGGTTTTTAGCAGAAAATATTATCTAGTTGGTTCAATGAGCAGATAATTGTTCGACTTGTAGTATTTTTAATAATGGGAAAACCCGAGAAAACTTCTGGAAAACTGTAAAGTAATATTTACACAATAACGGTTTCTGTTTTATTCGATTTTGCTATTTGATTCAGCGAAAACTAATCGTAAAGCCCGGACATTTCACCGGATACTCCGATATACACTTTTATATTATGTAGTTCTTTCCAGAAATGGTACAATGCTATAATTTTCAAAACATTCTGACAATGTTTCAGTTGTTAATAGCTATTTGAAATGTCTAGTTTTTTAGGTTTTTATTTGGTCTCATGCGATTAAAATTGATTTGATCCGGTGAAAATGTTCAAAAATTTAACATGAAGTCTACCATAAGTTCCCATGCGTCCTATGCGTTTCACTTAAAACAAATAATACTCTAAAATATCTGAAAATTATTCGAGGTACGGAGTCTTCTTCTGATTAAAG